AGAAGGGTGCAACAATGAATGAATGGAATTCCAAAATTTCTGTAGATGTTCATTGAAATGAAAAATAAACAACCTAAATTAAAAAAAAAAAAAAAAAGGAGGACAACTTTTAGTTCTGTGAGAGAGGTGCAGCATGGGGTGTGGGAACAGTATGCCAGGGTATTAACAGCTGGCCACACCTGAACTTGACCACTCTGGGAAACTCAAAAAAAGGTGGGGTATTCTGCCCAAGTACGCACAGCACTGAGGACCATTTTTGCCTGTCAACCCCATAGTGGGAAGGCCCACATTGGAACAGGGCAATCAGTCACAGCCCCCACTCATCTCAAACAGCTGCTCTGATTTGAATATTCAAGCCTTTGCAGGTCGTTGGATGTCAGGTGGTGGATGATTTGCCTGGCAAAGACACACAGGTGCTCTGCCCTGCTGGGACTACAGGGGAGGGGGTGGGACTGAAGGTCCCTGGGGTCCACCGTCCTCTCCCATCTCCCACAAGCTTCCTAGGCCCTTTCTCATTATTGCTTGATCCTCCTTGGACCTTCCTAGCATGTCTGCTCCTGGAGGCGGAGACTGGGGACTATCCCCAGACAAACAAGGTAGGTGGAGATGAATGGTAGACCTCACCTCAGAGTAAGTGTAGCCAATGGAGTTGGCTTCCAGCCTGTCATTGAATTTGCATGGAGAGTGAGGCTTCTCTAAGTTCTCATCTCCATCTCCATCTGGAGAGGTCCAGCAGCAGTGCTGTGAGCCTGGAGCCAGCTCACCCTTCCTGGAGGCAATGCCCCGTGCCTTCCTGGTCAGAAGTCGGCGTCCACAGCCACCCAACTGGGGACACCTGCCTGACCAACTCCGGGGAGATGCCTATGTCCCAGGTGACCTCCTCACTGGGCTTGGGGTGGTGAGGAACAGGGGTTTTACAAATCATCACAGTCTGGCTTTCTCTTCAGACTGCAGCAGCCCACGAGGACCATGGGCACACCAGTCTTCCGGCCTTGGAGACTCCTGGACAGTGGTGAGTCTGCAAACAACCCACAAAACCCTGCCTACCTTTGGACTCAACTTAACCTGAATGCCCTTTTTCTTGGTGTCACTTTGCACATCTTCTTGCCGTAAGATCCTTCCTTGAATTATTACTCCATCAGGAATGTCTTTCCATTCCTAGTGGGGGCACAGGTCTCAGCCCAAGCACCAACTCTCCAGGGTGGGAAGATCCTGATTTGTGCCATTTTGCCCCATGGGGCAGAAAAACAGGATTTGAGCCAACAAGCAGATAGCGACTGGCTCTGCTGGAAGATCTGATGAGGTGGTGGGAGTGCAGGGGTTGGGGGTCTGTTGGCAGGAGGGATATGTCAGCAGTGCATGAACTGGAAAGGCAGCACCTACTACAACTTACCTGTGCTCAAAACAATGACAGTCTCAGAGTTAAGTACTGTTCTGGGTGCTCAGGATTTAGCAGAGTAAGACAAAAAGTCATGCCTTTGTGCACTGTACAATTTAACAGAGACATAGAGAATATAATACCAATGCCAGAAAATCATAAAAGCTATGAAATAAAGTGACACTGGCTCACTATCAGCAGTCTTGAGCCTTCACAGACCTCATTGGTCTGAGTAGTAATGGGAGGTGGCAGAGCTGGTCAAAAGACCTAACCCTCCCATCCCTCCCACAGCCCACAGAGGGCACTAAGGCTATGGCTCTCAGAGACCCCAGGGCACTTGGGTGCCCTCTCTGTCCCAAGGCTTTTCCACTGCAGCGCATGTTAACCAGGCACCTCAAGGGTCACAGCCCAGCACGCCGTCACGTGTGCCACTACTGCCACAAGGGCTTCCATGACGCCTTTGATCTCAAGCGCCACATGAGGACACATACAGGTGAGTAGGGGCAGCTAAGCCCCAAATGGAGTAGAACAATATGGAGCGGAGTGCTTGGGGATGGAGTTTCCAGCATTTGTGAGGTAGGGAGCTCAGTTAACAGGACACCTGACACAGGATATATACACACAACCTCAGCATATGGGTGTAAAGGATGTCCCAAGGCAGAGGCAGGGCTCAGCCTGTGAAGGGATGTGAGAGAGAACTGCTGGCTACATGCTTCAGGTCCGAGACTGGAAGGCATAGGAATACCTCACTCCCACAGGGCCTGGGGTACGAACATCCTGGTATGTGTATTGGGCGGTGAGACAGGTGTCTGTCTGGCTCATGTTTTCAGGAAAGTAAGCTGTGGTTGGAAAAGCTCAGTGAAAATGGGGTGGAGAGGTATAAGAGCAGATGCAGATTTGACTTGGAGGCTATTTTTCTGACCATCCTATCTCCTATCCACACCCTGCTGGGCAGGGATCCGTCCATTCCGCTGTGGATCGTGTGGCAAAGCGTTCATACAGCGCTGCTCACTGGAGGCACATCTTGCCAAGGTGCATGGACAGACTGCCAGCTACGCTTACCGTGAGCGCCGGGAGAAGCTGCATGTGTGTGAAGACTGTGGCTTCACCAGCTCAAGACCTGATGCCTATGCCCAGCACTGCTCCTTGCACCGCAGGGCTTGAAATGGTGTACCTGGTGGCCTCTCTGCAAGTGGCAAATAAACACATGAAATTTAAAGAAATGGGCTCTTTATTGTATGTAGGGGAAGGAAGGTTGTGGTGATCACTCAGTCCAGCGGTGACCACAATGTGGTGCTGTGCACACGTAGTAGAGGCGCATGGCATCCTGGAGAAAGATACTCAGTTAGGAAACGCTAGTTTCCATTCCGTGGTTCCACTTAAAATCAGACAGTAGAGACTTTCACAATTATATAAATCAGCCCGGGAGACTGGATTGGAAGGACTCTCCATTGGATACTAGCGTCCTCAACCAGGTGAAGGACCAAACCCAAGACAGATGCCCAGAATTTTGTCTTGTCACTTACCTCAGCGCGAGCACTGTGGGACTGGAAAAACACTGCTTCCTTGTGGCCACACCTGAAGGGACAGCTTTACTGCTCAGTCTTGTGCTGCTTTTCTCCCCTCCCTTCCCTGCCCGGCCAGTGCAGGCCAGACTTCCATTCCCCAAACCCAGGGACGTGCTCACTTCTGGCACGGGTGGTCCTCGGTTCGTGGCAGCGTGGGGTCCTGGGACACGTCGGCAATGATCTGGGTCAGTTCACTATGGATATAGGAGCGAATGGACTCAGAATCGGCTTCCAGGAGCCCCCAGTCCCCACCAGCCCCGTACTCGCTTTTAAACCACTCACTCCACTTCGTGAGTTATCTTGTTAACATAAATACAGCTGTTGTCGGCTTCTTGCTGGTAATCACAGTTCCTGCACTGTGAGGAGGCAAGAGAGGCGGCAAGGAGGAGGTCATGGCTCCGATGGGACAGGAGCGACGACGACAGGGCCTTCTCCAGGGGCGAACTAGGTGTGGAGTGTGTCAAGGGTCACCGGGGAATGGACAAAGCAGAAGCCGCGACCACGAGGAAAACAGGGAGACAGACTAGGACACGTGGTCGTGGGGCTGGAACACAAAGAATGTGTCTCTAGCACACGTGAGGCGGGGCCGAACTGGGAAGTTTGGGGCTTGAGAGGGCTCGAACTCACGGCGTAGAGTAAAATGCGGTTCTCTTTGTCCTCCTTGGGATACAGCATGTTGTTACTGCAGAGAAGGAAAGCAGAGAGGGGTCAGCCCCACGGCCATCCCCATTCCCCCTGCTCTTCCACACCCCCTTCACACTGGCCTCACCATTCCTGGCAGAAGCGGATACCCACAAAGCCCGGCTCATACGTGCCGTCCGGCTCCATAGTTGCCCAGCTGCGGCCCAGCAGGGCGTCTGCGTGCAATCCGCTGCAATACTACAGGTCGCAGGAAGGTTCAGGCCTTGCAGCTTCGCCAAAAGAGGGGGCGGAGCCTCTCATACATCTTGGCTGCTTTGTGCTTTTAGCTATCTCTGCGCCGAGGTTTGATTAGTCACTTGCTTCATTCTTTTAGTGTCCTCAAGTACATTTTTCCTATTTTTCAGCCGCGCCTGTCCGATTTATGAACTAGCATGCATCTGCTACAAGATCCGGGACTACCCTGCAAAAATTTAGGCAGGAATGCCAACGCTCTTCGTTCCGCTGTATGCAACTCCCATGCGCGAGGTTAGCCTTGGAGGGCGGGGCTAACCTTTGCTAGTCTTTTCCTCTGGAGGGATTCATCCTCCGCCCGCCCAGGTCGCTTCCAATGACGCTATTGGAAGAACTCTGAACGATGAACTCTCAGGATTGGCTGAGCCCATCCAGAAGACAGAATGGCTCTCTTGCTGGCGGTGGAGAGACGGCAACGATTGGCTGTGCCTCTAAGCGGGTGGGCGTGGATTGGTCAGGTCCGGACAGGGGGTGGGGTTGATACTTCAGGAGCGGCCGCCTGCGGCTGAGGCGCTGGTGTGAAGCGGCAGAACTGGCCTGGGAGCCCCAGGAGGTTGCGACGAGATGGAGGTGGCGGGGATATCAGCACCAACCGTGACGGTTTTCATCAGCAGCAGCCTCAACAGCTTTCGTTCTGAGAAGCGGTACAATCGCAGCCTCACCATTGCTGAGTTCAAGGTGTGGCCGTGGGGGCGGGGCTTGGTGGAGGCGGGGCGTATGGGTTTGAGGGGTGGGAACAACGAAGATAAAGGGATCCTGAGCGTGGAGAGGGGCCGGAGGGAGGACGAGGAGGCCGAGGCAGAGTTTACCTGAGGTTCCTGGGACTGGGAACCAAACCTGGAGGGGGCAGGGCCGGAGAAAACCTGAGATACTTGAGAGGAGGAGTAGACCTAGAAGAATGAAAGGTACCAGGAGCCCAGGTGTCGACTGTGATGGTTCGAACCTAGTGGAACCTGAGGAGTGAAGGAGGAAGGCTAGAAATTGGGCGATGGTTGTTATTACAAAGGGCGGCCAAAGGGCAGAGCCGCCTCCACTCACTCGGCCTCTTCTTTGCAGTGTAAACTGGAGCTGGTGGTGGGCAGTCCTGCGTCTTGTATGGAACTAGAGCTCTATGGACCTGATGACAAGTTCTACAGCAAACTGGACCAGGAGGACGCACTCCTTGGCTCCTACCCAGTGGATGACGGCTGCCGCATCCACGTGAGACCTCCCTGTCTGGGACCACCCGGTCTCCCAGATACCCACATACACCCACACCCCTCATATATTTAGTAAATACTTGCTATTGCGCTGCCAACCCAAAGGCACGCAGTTCCCAGGGCTGGGCACACTGCCGTTATGTGCTGTTGAATCAGAGCTGATTCACAGGTGACCGTCTAACGAGTTTTCAGAGGCTGTGAATCATACCAAAGGAGACAGCCCGGCTTTCTCCCCCAAGTTAGGCCCTTCCCTTGTGGAGCCCCAGTCCAACCTCGAGAGAGACAAACTCATCACTAGGAGTGAGAGTCTAGAATGGGCTAGGTAGGCCGAAGAGGGTCCAAGAGACTGGAGCACCCAGAGGCAGCTGCTGGCCTCACCTATTAGGAAGAGCTTTCTGGAGGAGTGGATGTCTGAGCTGAGACCTGAGGGGATAAGGAAAGGGTGACATAGTATATGAGGTGAGAATAACATGGTAGGTGGGAGAATAGAGTGTACACAGCATGTATAGGCCCTAAGGCTGAACTTGTTTGAGGAAGGTGGTGTGGTATACAGAGGACCTTTGTGTGTGTCACCTCTGTCCTCAGTCCCCCTCTTCCCACTTGCTCAGTCACACAGTTCCTCAGATGTCCAGATAGGCTCTTCAACAGGGCCTTTGCATGGGCTAAAAACTCTGCCTGCAGATTCTTTTTAAATACAAACATAGCTCACCCCTTCTTTCTATTCCTTTCCCCACTAATGCCTGTCGGTATAAAAATCGCCTTTCCCTTTCTTGGCTTTATGTGATTTTTGCCCTTAGATCTTATTCTCCTTTTACATATTCCTCATTTCTTTCCCTGGACTGCTTTATTGTCTCCAAAATCCTAACAGAGCAGAAAGTGCCTCTCAATTGTTGTTCACTCACTGGGGACAACCTCTGATAGGGCAAGAACTCTCTTAATCTTTGTTAACTGACTCTGAGTTTAACCCATAAATAAGCTTGAAAATATGTCCATTTGCAGAAGAAAACACTAGTTCTTGATGGAATTTGCTTTCCAAAGAAACCAGTGTACATAGAACCACAGAACCTACTCTTTCCTCTCTCTTTGAGCTATCCATAACTATTAAGGGTCTGCGTTGTGCTAGGGCCAAATGTTGAACCAAGTCTGAAAATGTCCCTGTTTGGACTCTGTCCAGCATATAGACTCAATGTCAGCCAAATAATGACCTCATGAACAGAGGGGACAGCAGGGTGGAGATGAGGGCCATGCAGAAAAGGTTGGGAGGCCTCACTGTCACTGATCTTCCTTTCATAGGTCATTGACCACAGTGGTGCCCGCCTGGGGGAGTATGAGGATGTGTCCAAGGTGGAGAAATACGAGATTTCACAGGAAGCCTACGAGCAGAGACAAGGTACAGGGTGCGTGGAGGTGGGGGGGTTTTGGGGAGGTCTGAGGGTGTGAGTACATGGGTGGATGTGGATGTATGGGGGCATACACTGTAGACTGAAAAGATCAGTAATACCAGCAGTGGGGGACATACGGGAATGGTAGGATGGGATGGAGTGTATTTGGGACAGGATCAGATGGGCGTGTGTGGGAGGAATGCAGGGTAAATTGAGCATGATTGAGACCATAATCTGGGAAGTGTTGATAGGCTTAGGGTGGTAGAAGGAGCATGAGAGAGTCTCGGATATGGGCGTTCTGGGGTATGAGGGAGTGGTCAGGGTCAGGTGGGCAGTATGGGAAAGAAGAGCATACGGTCGGTGATAGTTTGTGAGAGGGGATGGAAAGTGTATGGTAGAGAACACATGGGAAGCCTCTGAGGACAAATGTGAGCCCAGAGGAACATGTGGGAAGCAAGGGTCATGTGAAAGGCTGTAGGCAGGTGTCATCCCTCCTCCCATTAGTTCCAGGCTTGTGGGGAGGCACCAGGAGTTGGGGGGGTGGGGTGGGCAGGGTTATGGCAGAACACTGATGTCTACTAGGCCTCCCTCTGCAGAATGGTATCACCTAATCTGAACCCCACCCCCTACCCTGCCATAGACTCAGTTCGCTCCTTCCTGAAACGCAGCAAACTCGGCCGATATAAAGAAGAGGAACGGGCCCAGCGGGAGGCTGAGATTGCCCAGAACCTCATGGAGGAGAGGACTCAGGCCGATGCCATCACTGTGGGCAGTCGTTGTGAGGTGCGGGCACCAGGACAGCCCTTTCGCCGGGGCACTGTCATGTATGTAGGTATGTGGCTTATAAGACCCTCGGTCCTAAGGCTTAGAGGGACTCCATAGGCTCATTCCATAGCTGAGTCTAAGCCTCGCTGCTATGCGGGCAGAATTGGGTGTCCAACCTTTTGGAGATCTTAACCCAGTTGACAGTGACAGCCCAAGTTGTTCAGGGTGGAGAAATGGGAGGCCCAGACAGAGTGGTGAGGGGGAAGCACAAGATGGGGACAATTTAGGACTGTGCTGGGGAAACAAAGGCCAGAATGATCAGAATTATGATGAGGGAAATACTGTAGGTTGTAGCAGCTGAGAGGAAGCATCAGATTAAGGTTTAAGAATAATTCAGGAGGGCTTCCTAGTGAGGATTATCTGAAGGAAAGGGAGATGTGAGTTCAGTTTAAACGTAGGGAAGAGTCTTCCAACCAAAAGGAGTAGCAAGCTGTGAGACTGCAACATGCTTGAGGTGTTTGATGCTGGGAAATGAGGCATGCTGTCAGGGTGGCTTAGTGGGTCTCAGGTGCTGCATTCAGAGAAAGGAGGCCCGTGATAGTGGGGAGTGAGTAAGAGAAAAAATTGGGGATCTTAAGGGCCCATCAACAAACGAATGGATAGAGAAGCTGTGGTATATCCACACAATGGAATACTACGCAGCATTGAAAAACAAGGAACTCATGCAATATTATTCAAAGTGGGTGACCCTGGAGGACATTATGCTGAGTGAAATATCTCAGTCACAAAGGGACAAATATTGCATGGTGCCACTGTTGTAGAATGGGTCTGACCTCAGGGTGGGGGTATGACAGAAAAAACTGGATAAATTATGTATATTGTATTGAAACAGATGAGGGAAAGAACAGATTAGAAGTGATATATGATTGAGTATTATGGTTAGCACAGGAATCCAGAATTAAGGTTGCATAGAGAAGTGTACTCGGGGTGGGGGGTGGGGGGAAGGGACGTGGGAATTGTATACTAATGAAGGAATTTTTTTTTTCTTTCTTTTTTTTTTTTTCCTCTCTTCGGAGGGGGAAGCAAGCTGGTGGGGAGGGGTGGGAAGGGAGAAAATTGCTGCAGTGAATGAATGGAAATCCAAAACCTCTGTAAAAAAAAAAAGAATGGGCTTTAAAAAAAAAAACAACCCCAAAGCTGACGAGAAGGGGCCTTGGAGATAGTGGGATACACAGTGACTTTTTGGGTAATAACAGTTTTATTAAGATATCATTCATGTACCAGACAGTTTGCTCATTTAAAATGGTTTCTAATGAACTTAGGGAATTGTATAGTCATTCTTCATAATTTTAGAACATTTTTTATTCCCCCCAACTCGCATTGCACCTGCTCAGTGCTGTTGAGTTGACTCACAGCTGATCTGTGAGATTTTTGAGACTAAATCACATGAGAGAACATGACCCATCTTTCCTTTGTGGAGCTATTGCAGGATTTGAACCTGTAGAGAATCTCAACCTTTGGTTTAGTAGTGCAGCTTCCTGTGGACCACACTATCAGAGCTCACTATGGGTGAGAATCCATAGTGCTGGTGTAGAACTAAATCATGGCACACTCTCCAGCAAGTTTTCAGAGGTTGTAAATCACAAAGGAGAAGATTGCCTATCTTTCTTCCCTGGAGCAGCTGGTGGATTTGAACCATCTGCCTTTGGGTTAGCACCACAACTCTTTACCATTAGGCCACAAGTGCTCTTTCCCATAGTACCATGGTTGTTGTTATGTACCATCAAGTTGGAACTAACACATAGGAGACCCTCCAGTAGATGTTCAGAGACTGTAAATTGCATGGACGAAGATTGTCCATCTTTCTCCAGTGGAGCAGCTGTTGAATTCAAACCACCTGCTTTTGGTTGGCAGCACAACCAACCCCTTACCACTAAGCCCCCAGAGCTCTTTCTGATAGTCTAGGCAACCACTAAATTTTCTGTCTGTATATAAGCCTATTATCATATTTCATATAAATGGAATCTTGTAATACATGGTCTTTTGTCATTGGCTTCTTTCATTCATCCTGATGTTTTTAGATTGTATCTACAATATCAATAGTTTGTTTATTCTTATAAATTAATAATACGTTATGTAGTGGATAAGCGGGAGACACGGTGGGAGCAGGGAGATCAGTGGAGGGTCCCATTAGTCTAGACAAAAAATGCAGAAGGTCCTGGGTGATAACTAGCAATGAAAGTTATAAGAAACAGTTTTCACCAAGATAGGCCTTCCATTCAATGGGCAGGCATGAATCTGGAATGTGCTGGATCTGGAGGTTTCATTGGGATTTCTCCCCTGGACAGGACTCACAGATTTTAAGCCCGGCTACTGGATTGGTGTCCGCTACGATGAGCCACTAGGCAAGAATGATGGCAGGTAACCACCATTTCCCCTCCAGTGTCTTTGTGCCATTGTGGGCTTATGTGCGCATGTGGGTGCTAATCCATGTGTATTCTGCTGGGTGGGCCCACATGCTCATACTAGCATATAGAGGTTAAAACTATCCTGTAGTTTTCTGACCCCTGCTTCTTCCATCTTGTCCTTTAGTGTGAACGGGAAACGCTACTTTGAATGCCAAGCCAAGTACGGTGCCTTTGTCAAACCATCAGCTGTAATAGTGGGGGATTTCCCTGAGGAAGACTACGGGTTGGACGAGATGTGACACCCAAGGAAGCTGATCTCTGCTCCAGCTCCTAACTTGTCCCCTGTTCCACCTCCACATGTGTGTCAAGGGCCCTCTTTCCCTAATGCCATTTTTTATTCTATTTAACATTTTCCCTTGCCATTGGCTTTTGAGACACATGGATTAAATTTATGGAAATTTGTTAAGTGTTTGGGGAATTATGGGAGGAGTCAGGAGTAGTTAGGTGAGACCGGTAGAGGGGGCTGGACAAAGTAGAGGTTGGGCATGGTGAGGCTTTATCTCTTCACTAATAGCTGGAAGCCCATGAAACAATTATTTGCCCTTGTGTTGATAAGTATGGTCTGCTAGTGTAACAAAGAGACTCAAAATAACATTGGCTTAAACAAGATGGTAGTTTAAAGTCTCATGTAATCATTGAGTGCTAATATAGTGACACTTCTGTGTCGGAGGTTAGTTCTCCTTCATAATTCTCATCTCATCTATTCTTACAAGAGAAGAAAAGGAAGGGGAAGAGATCCTCCATACCTTTAAGAAATATATAAACAACTCAACACTTATTCCTGTTTATTGGCCAGAGTTTGGTTATGTGACAGTATGTAGCTGTAGACTTAACTCACCTAATCATTGCCGTGTAGTTTTCAGCTCATGGCCGATCCTCCATCAGATTTCCAGGCTATAAATCATAATGGGAGGAAACTGTCCATCTTTCTTCTGAGGAGCAGCTGATGGATTTGAATCCTCAGTAATGCACAGCCTTGGAACCCTTATTCACTGCTGGTGGGAGGGTAAAATGGTACAACCACTATGGAAGACAGTATGGTATTTTCTCAGAAAGTTGGAAATTAGCATTTGACCCAGCAATTCCTCTACTGGGCATAGACCCTAAGAAACCGGAGCTACTACCCAGACAGATATATGCACACTTACGTTTATTGTTGCCTTAATTCACAAATAGCAAAGAATGGAAGCAACCTAAGTGCCTATCAACAAATGAATGGATAGAAAAACTATGGTATGCAATGAAATACTACACAGCACTGAAAAACAAGGAACTAAAAAAAACACAACGTGGTTGACACCACTGTTATAAAACAGGACTAACTTTGGGGTTGTGGGGAAACTAAAAAAAGAGGGGATAAATAATACTGCTTTGGGACAGATGAAGGAAAGAACCGTTTAAAAGGAATATGTGATTAAGCATGATTTGTGTGACGACAATCCAGAGTAAGAGGTGCATAGCAAAGTGGACTGGGGGACGGGAGGAGGAGGTGGTGGTGGTTAGGTGCCATTGAGTCAAGTATGACTCATAATGACCCTATGAACAAAAGATCTGAACCCAGTCCTGTCCTGCACCATCCTCACACTTCCTGACACATTGCAGCAGTCACCATGTCAATCCATCTGGTTGAGGGTCTTCCTCTCCTTTTCCTATCCTGTACCCTTCCCAACATCATGTCTTTCTCCACGGAATAGCACCTCCTAGCAACATGTCCAAAGTATGTGAGGTGAAGCCTCATCATTCTTGCCTCCAAAGAGCACTGTGGATGCACCTTCTTCAAGACATATCTATTCATTCATTTGGCCATCCATTCAGGCTCTTCTCCAACACCACAGCTCAAAGGCATCAATTATTTTTCTCTCATCCTTACTCAGTGTCCAGGTCTTGGATGCATTGCTAGTAATTAGACTATGGCCTGAATCACATGCACTGTAGTCCTCAAACTGGCATCATTACTCAATAATTTGGAAAGATGCTTAACAGCAGATTTTCCTGGTGCCATGCATCTCCTTATTTCCTGACTGCTAGTACCAAGGGTGTTAATTGTGGATCCAAGAAAGATGAAGCTGTAGACAGCTTCAGTATCCTCTCTGTCCATCATGACACTGCCTACTGGGCTAGTGGTAAGAATCTTTGTTTTCTTGATACTGAGAAGTAATCCATACCACAGGCTGCATTCCTTGATCTGCAACAAGTGCTTTAAGTCCTCACTTTTGGCAAGTAAGGTGTCATCTGCATAACGCAGGTTATTGATGTGTCTCCGTCCAATCTGGATGCCACACTCCTTTTCATAGAGTCCAGCTTCTCGACGCACTCCCTTCCCAATTCCAAACCATGCAGTGCTCCACTGCTCTGTTTGCACAACAGCCTCCTGATCAGGTATAGGTTCTGCATGAGCAGGCAAACAAAAGTGAATTGGGTGGGAGGAAAATGTGGAAGAATGAATGAATGAATGAAAATCCTACTTGTCTGTAACCTTTGATTAAAATCACAATTTAAATGAACTTTATGAATATTTATAAAAAATACACAGCCTGTGGGTTAGCACTCCTCACAGGCCACCAGCGGCTCCCTTGTCACTGCAAAGGAGGCTAGGAATTGCAGTCCCTATTCTAAATTGCCATGCACTTAACCAGATAATCTGGAGTTCTTGTGGCATAGTGCATATAACCTGCTGCACTGCTAACCTTAAGAGTTAGCAGTTCAAATCCACCAGGCTCTTGGAGAAAGATGAACAGTCTCCTTGTGTAAATGTTACCTGAAAAAAATCGGGTTGCTTTGAGTCAGAAGTAACTGCAGTGAGTTTGGAATATAGAAGCAGAGGAGATGGGATATTGGATGATGTCAGTGAGCAATTTTGCCACTCCCTGTGTAGAGTAATTGTAAGAGTGTGTGTGTGTAATCAGGTTGCTTTGAGTCAGAAGTAACTGCAGTGAGTTTGGAATATAGAAGCAGAGGAGATGGGATATTGGATGATGTCAGTGAGCAATTTTGTCACTCCCTGTGTAGAGTAATTGTAAGAGTGTGTGTGTGTGTGTGTGTGTATTTAAAAGACTTTAGAGTAGCACGAAGTCATTCCTCACAGCATTTATAAAGAGTGGCAAAGAACATTGTGCCCTCAGGTTGTGACATATAAGGTGCCAGGAGAAAACTGAGGGGACTGCCAACTCCACAAAGGTCGTTGAGGGGTCTTGTTTAAGGGGCGATGGGCGGATGGTGGAGTCGGTGGGGAGTTGCATTGCTAACTCAATGCCTGAGCCTCCCAGAGGTTAGAATCCACTAGTAGCTTCTCAGGAGGAAGATGGACAATCTCCTCCCATTCAATTTATAGCCATGGAAGCCCAGTGGGGAGTCAGCTGTGAGTTGCTTCTGACTCCACTATGGTGAGTTTTACAGCGAGAGGAGTAGCAACAGCTACAGCAGAAAGAATGGATTTAAACTTTGTGATTATAGCAAAAAGGATCCAGAGAAAGGGAACTGCTCACATCCACTCTAGTCTGGTGTGCGAGCACTCTGATACCCACCTTAGTGTACAGGGACACACTTCTGGACTACAGAAATGGAATGGGGTAGGGACTGTAGTGTGTGACCTTTAAGTTTCAGAATGGGGAGAATGCAGCAGCTACTACCCACAGCTGATTTTAGTGAAGTCAAATGTGCTGCTCACACTCCACCCCTTCCTACAAATTTTGACACCTATTGTCCCTCCTGCACCATCTCCAGCACTCATTACCAGGTTCAATATTCATCACAGTGGCCGTAGTGGATAATTACAATTACGAAATTTTTTAGGGAAGTCCCAGTTCCATTCCTTGCCATCCAGTTGGTGTATAACTGACTCATTGCTGATCCTCAAGCAGGTTTCCAAGGCTGTTAATTGCACAGGATATTGTCCATCTTTCTTCCTCTGAGCCAGTGGTGGATTCAAGGCACCAGAGAGATGTGGCTGTTGGGTGCACCTCTCCGGGACTGTGCCGCCAGAGCTCCTTTATTAAGGAAGTAACAGGTTACAATTCAGGATTGGGAATGACCTTGTATACAGTTAAGATAGCTGTGCCCAAAGGCAGAACTCTGGCCAATCAGCCTTGACCTCAGCTCTGGACAGATGTTACAGTTTGCTTATTTTTCGTTTAATTGCTCCAAATATCTTCCCCTGATAGTGAATGCCATCACTGAAGGCATTCGCTTTAGCTTTGTGGGTTGGCAAGCCTGTTTCTTGACGGATTTCATGAAAGCACCACTTCACCTGCAAGCTGCATAATCAAGGATTCCACTTGCTCACTCCATGTGTCAGGAAGCCAGCTCTACCTCAAACCAGTCTCCTAGTTCTGTTGCCTCTATGCTGCTTCTTGTCATCTCTCCACTGTTACAGCTTTGTCTCCTGGATTAAAGTGTCAGCACCGGGAATCTCATTTCCAATGGACCCTTCACTCATAGCCTTCTTTCTGGATGACAGTGAGATCTTGATTTCTGCTCCTGATGGTTCATTTTAAGCCTGAAGGAATGGAAATACTAGGGAAATATACATGTTAGTGTCCCACACTCCCTGTTTACATAGTCCCACTCCTCAAGAATGCTGTGTGATAATACTTACATTATTAGCAAGCCATCTTACTCCATGGTGGGCCCAGACACCTCATATTTACATCATCTTACTTGATTACATCTCAATACTTTATTTTTTTAACTACCTGAAGCCTTTATTTTTTTTAAAAAAAAGTAAGTAAGCCTGGATTCAAGCCAGCAGCCCTAGTGGTGGTATACCTTATGTGATGTGCTGCCAACTGAAAGGTCAATGGTTTGGATCCAGCACCCTTTCTGCAAGAGGAAGATGGGCAGTCCTCTCTGTTGTATTGTTTAGGAAACCAAATATAAGTCCAAATTGACTTGATAGCTGTAGATTTGGGCTTCAGACAGGAAGGAAAAAAGATTAGCAATTTTAGGTGGACAACAAAGCTGCTGGCAGGATTCATTAATTAGAGTCATGAATTTTTAGTTTTGTGGAAAGGAAGAACTTAAGATATGTTATTTTCTTTAAAAAACCTGCCTTGAAAGTAATCTTCATTTCTGCCTCAGTTCTACTGGAGAACTTGTCATACAATCACTGCAGATGTAAAGATACTTTGGAACACACTCCTGGGTTAGACAGCTCCCTCCTGCCCCAGCTGTGCACAGGACCCATGGATCGATGCGGCCCTGTCATTTATCACCTTTCATTGAGCTCTGGTGGCAAAGTCCA